CCCTAAAACTAAATTTTTAAAGTTTATCTTTTAAAGGCTACGAATTACAATTTTTAACTACAAATAACACCTAAAGAAAGGAACCCTCAAATTAGCTGGTTCTTTACCAGAGTATCACCACTAAAACCCATAGTAATCTATAAGGTTGACAAATATCACTGTATTAAAATCATAAGAAAATTATGACTGTCAAAGAGTAAATAACTGAGGCAAGCAAAATTCCTCAAACTACAATAGAATTATGAATGTTAAGAAGCTTTTAACTATATATGTTCTTCCAATAATTAAAATTTTGGCTATAGATTCAAAAAACAAAAAGTGGGTAAAACACAATATCTTACATTAAGTATGTTATAGTCCCTATGGTATATAAAAATATAAGAATGTAAAAAGCTTAAAAGCAAGTCAATTCATTAGTAACTATTCTTTTCTTGGATGTTTCAGAGATTTCATTAAATTCTTTTTAAAAAAATAGTTTATTTCTAATTTATGTTAAGGCACTTGTCCTTGACTTTAAATATTATTATGCATGGCAGACAGATATATATATATATATATGAATTATTCAGGATAGATTCAAGTAAAGCAGCTTCTCCCACATAAGAAGGATAAGGAGATCATGAAAGGGAACTTGAATTATGTTTCTTTTATCAGTCCTACTGCCCCAGAGAGTGAACCAAAATAGAGCTGGTAACTCAGAGGTGACACCACCATCAAGTGTTCATGAACTGTCATAAACAACTGGTATTAAGTTGACCTCAAACACAGGAAACGATTCCCTGAATAACAACAAGCCTTTACAATAACAATTTTTAAAGTTAAATATTAAGTTAAAGGATAGGCATGTTAATTTTAACTCTAAACTGCAGATCTAGACTGCTATAAAATGACAGCTAATAATCACTGCACATTTATCCTGTGCAGATACAATTCTAAGCACTTCATATATATGTCTCCTTGATCTACGCAGCAACCCTATAGAGATTAAGACTACAATTACTCCCATTTTACACGTGAAGAAACTAAGTCAAAGACAGGTTACTCAGCCATTGAGAGATAGATATAAATTAAAACAAAGAAAACACCAATATTTTTCAGAAACAAATACTCAGATTTATTTGTCACATTTTCCTAAATAGAGCAGCTTATGCTTCATTCACGTAGCTCACTCCCGCACTTTCTTCAGATCACCACTACAACACTACCTTCTTAGAAAGGCCTTCCTTCCATGACCAACTTACACAGCATAAAAACATGCCCCTCACCTTCTACCCTGCACACACACCTGCTTTATCCCTTAAACCGGGTGTTCATCACCATGTGATAAAATAGCTATTTATGTACTCATTTGTTTATTACCAGTTTCACAGCAGGTGGACGTAAGCAC